AGGAGTCCCACTCCGGCCCTGAGTTCTCGTGCTGCAGGAACAAGATATATGCTAATAATAATAAATTGCTTCTGGTAAACTGATTGCCATCACAAAATTGTTTCGTTTTATGCTTGAACAACTAAATTGGATGCCAAAGTCTGTTTAACTGATTGTATTTTAATTACATTACAACATCGATGCTGTAAAGGGGACCGCATAAAATGGAAAAAAACAAAACTCAATAAAAGGTCACTGGAAGTTTATCAGTATAGGAACAACATTAGCTCTGCATATACCCTATTATGAGGTTTGCTAAAGGTGCAGCTGTCATGCAGTGAGGGTCTTTAATAATCTACAACAGTTTGCCTTCACTGAACAGCAAGAATGATTAATAAATCCATATCAAACAGTCCCTTATAAGTTACGTATCGCTTTCAGTTTCAGGCTCTGGCGCGTTTTGCACTCACACACAAGCACTGGCCCACCTCTTCCCAATTCAGCGCACTCACACTTCAAAAACGATCCGGGAAACGAGCCTGGGCATGGTTCGGATAGCATAGTGTGAGAAGGCCCTAATAAAACCCAGTGGTTTTCAACCCTGTTCCTGGGGACTCATTATCCCAGAGTTTATCTGCAACCCTTATCAAACACACCTAAAGTGGCCAATTAAGCTCCCCAAGACAGCTTGAAAATTGTAGTCAGGTGCACTAAATCCGGTTGGAAATAAACTTTACAGGATACCAGGAACAAGGTTGAAGACCTCTGATATAACCAATTGTATATTACCTTCCACATCTAGAAGCCAGTCCCTCCAGAAACAAACAATCCTGTTTTCTAGGGTCCTTTTGTTAGAGCCAACTGGTGACAGCTGCGGGATGAAGAGCTCCGCTAAGTCTTTTGCTGTCAGTGGCTTCTCTTTAAACATCAAAATTTCTCGAAAGAGACTTGGGTGTTTTCCAAATGTTGCAGAAGCTGCAAACATTCCAGGCCTTCCTTGAATCTGAAAATAATAATAATAATAATTTAAGCATGAACAAGCTATGGTCTTTTCAGTTTAAGTGATTATTTAACTGTTAGACAACTCTCTAGCAGTACTACATAAGGTAAGCATAAAAAAAAAAAAACAAGGCCTTTTTCCTTAGTAAGGGCTAAGACTTGCCAGGATTAGGCCGAATATCAATTAGGACATTTAAGTAATTTTTATAAACATGCTTAAAAAAATTATTGGTGTGCATCTTGAGACAAAACAAAGGCACTGATATTTAACAATCAATCACTGCATTTTTTTTTCAGTAGAAACAGCTCAGACTTACTTTTTATTGGAGGACTAGGCTTAAGCCTTGTCTGTGAAACCGGGGGTAAGAGTCTTATTTTTGTTACAGACATATTTTTAAACATATCATATTCAATAATATGTCACAACTGTGTAGGACTGAGACCAAAATATTGATTTCTTTATTCTAATAGATTCAAATGTTTATGAGCTGCTATCCACTTTTAAATCCCTAGTATCAGTCTTGACCCCTTGGCTATTGTCAGATGAATGAACAAAACCTTATGAAATACCTGTATAACATACCATTTGATAAACGCTAATGATCTTTGAGGTTTGTAATTGTTGATATCAAATTTAAGGAATAAATAAATCATTTTGGTAAAATTTTTTGTTTGTGGCATGGCTGAGCAATGTAACTCCATAGATCAAACAAAAATATACCAAAATGCTTTTAACGCTTTAATACTACTTACAATGCGATGTGATCTGAGGCACATTGCTGGCGCGTTGCTATTTTGAGAAACTATAATAGATTTTTCAATTGACCAGAACAAAGCCGGTCTAAAGTCGATCGCAGAGTGCGTTAGTTGTGCGCCTCGCTTACACACTGCTTAATACACACAAGATGTAGAGCAATACGCAAATATCTTTAAAAATTGAAAAGAATTACATAACACATATTATTTTCCAGCCTACATAAATAAAATAAAAAAACTGCTTTCATGCCTTCATCATCTCGGGGGGCTTTCTCAGTTCATTCATAACAGTTTGCTTTTGTATAATGTTATCATTATTAGCAGTAGTATTTATTATACGTGTATACGTGTACCACTAGTGGTACGCAGGTTTCCTTCTAGTGGTACGCGGAGAAATAAAAAATGTCTTGTACATGCTACACATTTCAAAAAGTATCAAAAATTATGTATATAATATATCATATATGACATATAGCCTATATTTCTGAGGTAATCTGCCACGTTTTTAACTGTGCAGAGTTGTAGCTGCTATACTGGGCCTACTAATCTACTGTATTTCAATACTGCTCATTTTGGTGGTACTTGGAGAGACAATTTTTTTCTGAGGTGGTACTTGATGAAAAAAGTTTGAGAATCACTGATGTAATGCTTAGAAGTCCGGGGATGGCGGCCTCTGCTGGCCAGCGAGGGGAATGACTGGGACCGAGTCGGTGACAGTAACACACTTTATCTGTGTCTAATTCAAAGCAAGCAAAATGCTAGACACATGTCCTGTAACTGATGAAAATAACCGTCAATTTTAGACTGAAATAATTTCACTGACTTGTCTCAATTATAAAACTGAGACGATATTACCAATATTATTTATTACTGCTACTGACTGTAGTATTATTTTTATGATTAGTATTATTGTTGTTGCTGTTGGTTTTAAAAAATTATTGATGTCTATTACTTATCTACATGTTTTCCAGAATACCAGGAAAAATAATATTAATGTAAATGTAATAATAATATTACTATTACAATTCATAGACCAATAGCTTTAATTGACCAATTATGAAAAACTATATCTATTGCTTTAACTCAAGTTTTATTTTTATGTTTGTTAGTCGATTTCAAATTAACACATTGCTTGTGTTTATGTGAACAATTACTCCATCCAAGTTAATCCAGTGGAAAACAAAATGTTTGTTTTAGTAATTTTTTTATCAAAATCTGAACATTTGCTTACGCTCCAAATATAGATTTGTACTGGTTTCTTGTTATGTATTCATTATGTGAAGTTGTTGCAGTTTATCAGTTTTGTAATAAAAAAAAAATTGTCTCACACTCAATTATTGCCCTGCTATCAATAACAACTTTAAAATTGTCAGCACTGCATGTAAAATGACCATAAGTACTGTGAAAATGTCCTTGGTCCATTACCTTAAATAAATATTTCACAGGAGGGCCCTCAACTGTAGTTCATGCTACAACGCAGTAAAATCTTCAGAGTAAAATTTACTCAGTTAAGAGAATATTTGGTCCCTCTCTAAATTGAGCAAAATTTACTCAGCAGCAGAGTTAAAGTTAATGAGACAATGATGGGGTTAATTAAGTGATGATTGAGCACCGATGATGAACACCTGCTGTTAATAAGCAGAAACAGAGAAGAGAAACCCAAAACTACGGCTGTTTCTCAATTCCAAGAACGCAGAGAACGGACTTGTGAGTAAAAAATAAGAGACTTTAAAATTTTAGGTCAGCTATTCCTTTAAGCTATGTACTCTGAAGATATTTCTATTTTAAACAAAATATATTCACTAACACTCATCTGGCAAATCAAAGACAATCTTCAATCAGCAATGACCACAGATGGGTGGTGTCCACAGCGGTAACAGAAATAACTGTACATATACTGCCTGAGAGCACTGAAGTGGTAGAATGCTTTTCTCAGTGTTGTGTGGCACTGTAGTCCCAGAATGAGATTCTATAGTGTGCAGCATTCTACCAACAACAATGTGATTCTGCAAAAAAAAAAATACAGAATGTACCTTTAAACATGTTGTTTATATGTTATGTTGTGAGTAGAAAACAAAGCGGGATGGAAAGAAAGACCCTGTTGTTATAATTGTGGAATCCAGAATTGTAGTCCTGAAAACGAACTACATTTCTGCAAACTGGGCATGCCTTGGCATAAACAGAAATACCTAAAAGAAAACGCATCAACACAAATTGGTTGGCATACAAGAAATACATAGAGATTATATACAGTATATATAAGAGATATATTTAATAACATACCTTACCTCTATTCTGCCAAAACATCCCATAAACAGTTGCTTGTGTTGTAACCACAAAAGCGTTGCTAAGATTGGGAGAACATGACCCTGGGCAGTATGGACAGGTTGTTTCTGATGGTATAAAGGTTTCTGGAATGGGTTTTTCTGTTTTGGTAGTTTCAAGTGGAATGTCTTCCGGTAATCTTTTGCAATTCCACAAGTAATTGGTCATTGTGATCACACTACTCAGTGAAAAGGCCAAGTGCTCATCCATACCGACATTCCCAATGAAGCACTCCTCAATATCTTCTATATCCTCTGGGGCTTCTGGTGCGTTTTTCAACAAATAAGGATGCTCCCAATAAATCCACCACATACACATGTATCTGTGGACACAACTGATACTGTCCTTTACACCGATGCACTTGGAGTGCCATTTTCCCAATTGTTTGTCAAATGTGGAAACTGTCCTTCCAAACTTACACCAAGGGTCCTTCTCCCCAGAGTACACTAAGAAAAATAGATATCTCTTTGACAGATTGTGTTCCCCCAAGAAAATAGGAAACACACTGTCTACTTCGTGTGAGCAAGCATGTTGGTAAAGTTCCAAACATTCCTCTTGCCTAGACTTAGAAAGGAGTCCCTTTTCAACCACCTCCTTTACGGTTTTCTCTTGTAGTGCTGGTGGTGGAATGTATGCACTGGTTTTCTTGGTCCGCTCTAAGTGGTGGCATTCTTTCCCTGGGTTTCCACTTTGAGCAGCTATGGCCATATAGTCTCTGCATTCCTCCACTTCACAATCTTAGAGCTGTGATGTTAATGTCTTTTGGACATGTATTGGCAATCTGATACCATGGGATTGCTTTGTGGTCACATAAATCCCATTTTTTGGTTCAATGCACAACATTGGTTCTTGCCCAGCATGTTGCTCCTTTTTATGCCGTAATAGGTTTGAGTTTGTGCTAAATGTGATACCACATATAAGGCAAATTTTGTTTGCTTTTGGGATGTCTTTATCTTCAGGTTGTTTCTTTTCTAAAAATAATAATACATGTCATAGTGTGATTAACATAATTATAATGTGTTATTGTGTCATTACTTCAGTTGGGTTAGAAACATAAATGTACTCACCAGATGTTGTTGTTGGCACCATCAGACCTGTAGTTGCAGAGAAAGGGAATTATACAGTTGAAAAATGCAATTTCACTCATTACGCTTAAAGGATTTAGAATATTTACAATAGCCTACCATGTTTACGCAAGTGTGTTTTAAAATCTACAGATCTGCTTATTATTTTGGCACATTTAGGACAATGGCAGTGACTCCTTGTGCCAAGTTTCCGATCTGGACAGTGGCATGGTATAGTAAATTTGTCTTTGAACACAGGATGTTTTGAATATCAAATTAGTCAAAAGACTTCACCTCAACACTTAAATTAAAACTTGGCAAAAGTCAAAAAATGACTTACCACTTAAAATGTCTTGATAAAACCCTGGTAACTTTTCCATCATTCAGTTTTTTTTTTTTTTTTTTTTTTTTAACCAAAGAATATCTTCTCTTAAGTTAAAATTGCCAACTTAAAAAAAAAAAATGTTATGACCTTTTTCCATTCTGTTGAGTTCTCCTCTTGTAAAAGCTTTTTAACCATTTTGACTCTAAGAAAATTCTTCATTTGTTTAAATTCAATCAATCCTATCCCTCCTTCTTCTGTTGCTCCTATTATTGTATTGTACGCAATTCTAGGGGGTTTTCCCTCCCATAAAAAATCTTGAACACACTTTTTCAATCTCCCTTCTATCCAACATGGCATTTCTGTTATATATAATTTATACCATAGCTTTGATGTCATTAAAACATTTAATATTAAGGCTTTCCCCTTTAAACAAAGTTCTCTCATTCTCCAGAAATTTAATCTTGATTCTATTCCTCTTATTAGATCATCCCACATCTTTTCTGTTGCTTTTCTTTCATTTTTACCAATTAAAATTCCTAAAATTTTCAGTTCTTCTACTTTTTTAAACTGGAAACAATCTGTTAAAATATCTGCTTTACCAAACCTCATATATTGTGTTTTATTTTCATTTATTTTGCTTCCTGTCCCCTTACAAAACTCCTGTACTTTTTTCATGGCTTCTTTTACACTCTTTTTCTCCTTCACTATTATTGTTGTATCATCAGCATACTGGTATATTTTTCCTTCATCCTCCTCTTCTTCTATTTTTATTCCTTTAATTTTAGTTTCTTGTTTTATTGCTAACCCTAAAGGTTCTGCGACTAGGGAATATAATAGTGCTGAAAGAGGACATCCTTGTCTAATTGATCTTGTAATTTTAAAACAATCTGTTAAAAAAACATTACATTTTACTTTTGTTAAAGCCCCTTTATATAAAATTTTAATCCAATTAATAAAATTCTCTCCAAATCCAAATGTTTTGAGTACATCAAATAAATATGTTCTACTAAGTATTCCTTTTAAAATATTTTTAAAAACAATATAAAATTCATTTCCTATTCCATCTATACCTGGACTTTTCATTTTATGTAGTTGATTTATTTTTATTTATTTTTCTAGTTTTACTTTTATATAATTTAGAATCTTCCCTTCTTTTTCTTCATCAATACCTTTTGCTTTATTTGATAGTTTGTGTTTTCCCACCATATCCTTTTATCCTCATCATACATTCTATTTTCTTTTTCTTTCTCTATTATTTCTTTTTGAACATAATCTTGATTCTTTAAAATGGTTGTGTTTAAAATCCAAGTCCCTGGTCCTTTTTGTATGTGTTCTATATTCACTTTAAAATGCAAGAGCTTATGATCACTAAAACTGTTCTCTTCATACTGTTTGTTTTCTATAAAATTTTCAAAGTTTCTAGTACAGAAAATAAAATCTATTCTCTTTTGACATATACAATTCCCCACTATTTGTCTCCTTGAAAACTCTCTTTTTTCTCTATTCTTCTCCCTCCATATATCTACTAAACTATTTTCCTTTATTAACTCATTTAGTTCCTTTCTTCCTATATCCGATTTGAAAACCATTCCATCAGCCATATCTTGTTGTCTAAAAAAAGTATTAAAATCTCCCATCATTGTTATTTCTTTAAACCCTTTAATACTTCATTCAAAACCCCAAAAGACTCTTTTTTTTTTTTGTTTTGATCTTCTGTTGGTGCATGTATATTTGCTATTAGTAATTCATTTCTTTTAGAGTTCACCTCTATCACTAAACATTTCCCATAATTATCTCCATACACAATTCTTTTAAAGTTTAAAACATCTTTCCTTATTAAAAAAGCGACACCTCTTCCAGATTTACCATCACCATTATTATATATAATATCCCCTTGCCACAACTTTTTAAAATCGTCCATTGCATGTTCTTTCCAGTTTGTTTCCTGTAAACCTATCACTTCCTTGTTTTACATTTCTCTCTTATTTTCTCAAATTTATCTTTTCCCATCAGTCCCCTTAATTGCATAAAAAGACACAATTTAAAACGATTAAAATAAATAAAAATAAAAACCTACACATCCTTACTGTCCATCATCTCCTTCCAACGCTCTCAACCAACAACCCCTTCCGTTAAAAGAGACAAATATTAAAAGCATTTTAAAATAGATAAAATATTTTAAAAACATAATTTTTCTTCATCTTCTTCCAGTCCCCTTAACACTTCATACCTATTTACATATTTAGCTCTGTTCTTTGTTCAAACTTTTTTCTTTGCCATGTCCAAATTTGGTTTTACCTTAAAAGTTCTTCTTCTTAAAAATTCTCTTTCCACTTTGTTCTTATCCATATTTTCTATCCTTGTTTCTTCATCCTTTGCCATTCCTTCAGCTTGACCAGTCTTATTTAGTTCCTCTTTTTCCACAGTGCTTAAAAAAAGTTTTAAAACTGTCCAATATGTCTATTTGTGACCACTGTTCATCTTGTCCTGATAACTGTACTTCATTCTCTTCATTTTCATTTTCTCCTTCCTTTTTTTTCATTGTTATTCATTTCCTCCTTCATTGTCTTTCTTCTACTTCATTCACTGTTCATCTTGTCCTGGGGTTCTTCGTAGGTGGATAACTCAGTTAGCAAGATTTGGTTAATGATGATTTGACACGATCCAGGATTATTTTGTTCTTCAAAACTCTTCTGATAGTTGTTGTCATAGCTAGTTCTGATAGCTCAAACCTGCTAGGGAGCAATTGCTAAGGTGTTGCTAGGCGGTTGCTAAGGTGTTGCTAGGTGGTTGCTAGGGTGTTACTAGGCGGTTGCTAATATGTTAATAGGTGGTTGCTAAGCTGTTGCTAGGCAGTTGCTAAAGTGATACTAGGCGGTTGCTAAGGTGTTAGATGGTTGCTGGGTGGTTGCTTGGCGGTTGCTAAGCTGTTGCTAAGGTATTGCTAGGCAGTTGCTAAAGTGTCGCTAGGCGGTTGCTAAGGCGTTGCTAGGCATTTGCTAAGGTGTTGCTAGGTGGTTGCCAAGGAGATGTTAGATGGTTGCTAAGGTGTTGCTAGGCAGTTGCTAAGGTGTTGCCAAGCGGTTGCTATGAGGTTGCTAAGGTGTTGCTAGGTGGATGCTAAGCTGTTGTTAGATGGTTGCTAAGGTGTTGCTAGGTGGTCTCTAAGTTTTTGCTAGCCAGTTGCTAAGGTGTTGCTAGGCAGTTGCTAAGGTGTTGATAGGCGGTTGCCAAGGCATTTGCCAAGGTGTTGCTAGGCAGTTGCTAGGTGTTGCTAGACAGTTGCTAAGGTGTTGCTAGGTGGTTGCTAAGGAGTTGTTAGGTGATTGCTAGGCGGTCGCTAAGGTGATGCCAAGCGGTTGCTATGGTGTTGCTAGGCGGTTGCTGAGGTGTTGCTGGGTGGTTGCTAAGGAGTTGCTAGGTGGGTACGAAGGCGGTTGCTAAGCTGTTGCTAGGCGGTTGCTAAGGTGTTGATAGGCAGTTGCTAAGATGTTACTAGGTGGTTGCTAAGGTGTGGTTAGGCGGTTTCTAAGGTGTTGCTAGGTGGTTGCTAAGATGTTGCTAGGTGGTTGCTAAGGTGTTTATAGGTGGTTGCTAAGGTGTTGCTAGGTAGTAGCTAAAGTGTTGCTAGGCATTTGCAAGGTGTTTCTAGGCGGTTGCTAAGGCATTGCAAGGTGGTTGCTACATGATTGCAAGGTGTTGATAAGCTTTCTCAGAAAATATGAAAAAAGTTTTTTTAAGTAATTACAGAGATGGCAAAAGCATCTTGCTATATTAAAGTTATTACAAGACAAGAGAGGGGGAGGGTTTTGAGAAGAGGGAGGATAAAGTAGAGTGGGGATAGCAGAGGTATAGGGGCAGGGTACGTAGCTGGTGGATCTTTGTAGTCCTTTATCGGAGGAGGGGATTATGAAGGGACAGGAAGTGGTCATGTGCAGATTTGAATGGCAGACCATGCAGGAAAGATTACAGCATTCTAAATAAACTCTGTTGTAAAGATCAGTATCCATGGCCCCCCAGTAGGGACACTGATTCCACTGAGTAATGCGTATAACCGAATAATAAACGATGTCAGCACCTGATAGGATGAGGTTCTTGATGGTGTTGGAGGAGGGGGCCGTGCGGAAGAAATGTGAGTAGGGAGGGTGGACTGTTGGGAAGGGTTACTAATGCAGGTGGGTGCTTGATGAAGGGATGTAGAGGAGAAGAGGTGAGGATACTGAAAGAGGAGAAATAAGAAGGGAGAGGAAGGACTTGTAGAGAAAGACTGGGTAGAAATAAGCTGGCTTGAAGAGTGAGGGAGGTTAGAAGGGAAAGAGATTTAAGGAGGGTTGAGAGTGGAATGGATGACTGGAAGAGTAGGGCTGGAGTTTTCACTGGAATGTGGAGCTGGAGGCCAAGGGAGGGGGGTGGTAAGTCAGAGATTGGCGTCATTATCCGGTGGATTATCCATGTTTTGGAATGTTTTGGTAGATGCAGTTTGTCTTGTTCTGAGGGATTGTTTTTTATTGCTTAGTTGCTTTTTTTGATGGTCCGAGGAGATTTTGTGAATGCGGAGCTGTGGTGGGTTAAGGATAGGGGATGTGGCGGGAGCGAGCGGTTCTGCTGTCCTGAGGGGGTGGAGTTGGTGACGAGATGGTTTCATAGAGTTTCAGTAATTTTGTTTTATTGCAGCGGCTGGGGATGGAGATTCCGGCATTTATGAGGGTCTGGTGGAGTTCGGTCATTGTTATCTTGTTGGAAGTGAGGGATGATGATCTTGCGGAGGCGCATTAAGAACCTGGAGAAGGTGGGTGGCGATTTGGACGGGCAGGAGATGGAGATTGTGTCCTTGCTGAAGTAGAGCAGATAGGCCTTCGGCCTCTTATTGGAGGGTTGGTATCGAGTCGGCTTCCAGGCTGAGCTTGGTGTTGTTGAGCTGGGGCTGGTGTTTCTAGGAGAGCAGAGATTTCGTTCCTGTCCATGTTGCTGTAAATGATGTGAGAGTAGATTTAATGCTGCTATTTCTTATTTTCGCTGTTGTTGTATTGCTGCTGTTGTTGAATTGTCATAGTCAGATGATGGTAGTAGAATTGTTGATGGGTTGTAGAGAGATGTTAAACTTTAGAAGCTTGTGAAGGAGCTGGCGCAGTCCTGTCAAGAGCTTTCATCGGAAAACGAAGATAAGGGAGTTATTTTTTGCTAGGCTTCTTATTATGAGTTTGGATTAATCTGATTGGCTAACTAAAGATTGTAGATATGAGACCAGACTTAATTGTTGATAACAAGAATTCAATTGTTGATTTCAACAACTAAATTGCTACTAGTAAAAATCGGTTTGTCCTCCACACACTTCTCCTTCACTGTTACATCCTCTCTTCCCTCACACACACAGTTCTCACTTCTTGATGTAAATAGTGCAGCAAAAACACTCTGTTCCAATATACATCCTGCCTAGGTGAGATCTTGCCTGTCGCCACCAGCCCAACGCACCTACTCACTCTAACCCCTGGCTGTCGGATGGTCTGGGAAAATAGTTAGTTTTAGGGTTAGGACATGTTCTGTGATAACATTGAACAGCACCCAGGGCAACAGAGAGAGAGCATGGCACAAATCAAAAGCCTCCACTGACCTTCTTAGCAAGTACCAAAGCCAGCTGGCATCATTAGCCTCCCAACTCCATTCGGCCAAAACCCCATACTACCATTACAAAATTAACACCACTTCTGACGTCCACAAACTATTCAAGACATTTTATACTTTGCTCTGTCCTTCTCCATCAACTCCTTATCAGCTGGCCTCCTTCTTTACACAAATAAACACTCAAATTAGCAGTCAAACAACACCCTCTGAAGAAAAAGTCAATCTCTTCCTTCACTCCACACTGGCACATTCCCAAACACTTTTAAGCAGATGTAACGAAGGCCAGCTAGTGAACTGCTTACTCATCTGCATACATCACCTTCCCTACAACTCCACACATTCAATACAATTTCTCAGTCAAGCTGGGATCATCCACCATTACCCCATGTAGTTCGGTAAGAAATCTTAGGGTGATACTGGATAATCAGTTGTCCTTCAAAGAGGACATTGCTAACACAGCTCCATCATGCAGAGCTGCACTTTTAAACATTAGAAAAATCAGACTCTACTTATCAGATCATGCCATGCTGCACAACTTTTAGTGCAAACTCTTGTCATTTCAAGGCTGGACCACGACAGTGCTCTTCTAGCTGGATTCCCATCCTGCACCCTTAATCCTCTACAGATGCCCCAGAACGCCACAGCTCATCTGGTCTTCAATGAGAGCCCATGTAACTCCTCTCTTTATCTCCCTGTATTGGTTACCGCACGAGGCTCTTGTCAAGGTCAAATCACTGGCACTGCACCCTCTTACCTCCACCTACAGCTGAAGGTCTACATCCCCTCTAGAAGCCTCCAATCTGAGCTATAAATCACTTTCCAAAACCTTCTCATTGACTGTTTCATGTTGGAGGAATGCCTTCTTGTAACATTTGTTGTACAATAGTAACAAACTTACAAGATATTTTACCACATGAAATTACCAAGCAGTCTTTTAATGACTTACACTGAGCATAATGGTATGGGGCGTGGGCCCGCCCTCCATGGCAACTGCTCATTGAAAGACAGTAAAACTTTGCTTTTTGCATTAGCTCGCTCATGCTTGCTGCTGCTCTGTGCCCCCTCTCGCCTTGCTTTCGGTCAATGCACAGCCACTCAATCAGGTCGCAAAAAACTTTCCATGCAACCTCTTAAAGTTTAGGAACCGCCGAAACTGCTAAAAAAACTTCTGCAAACCGACTCTCAGCAGAGTTTATCACCCCGGTAACCCAGGACAACTTCCACTCACAAGCGAGTGAATCTCAAGGACGTCACTGAAGCTGAGTCACCAATCCATCAGGAACGCCATGTTTTGTTGAGGCCAGTCGGCGAAGGAAACTCAAACAAATGTTGTCTCTTGCTCATCTGGTGCAAATTGATCTTAAGCAGATGAAGATAAGTCAAATCTTTGCTTTTGTGGTTTCTCAGGTGTGATTCTAAGATCTAGTAATAAGAGATTAAATTAATTTGGGACGGTTGTCCACTCATTTTGCACAAGCACCACAATTGAGAACCATTGCTCTGATAAGAGGATAAGCATTCTAGGTTGCATAGGAGTACATTGCAACAGCCAGTTGATGAAAAAGGGTTGGGGCTTCCTGAGCATTTATTTCATTATTACACCTTCAGTCTGAGACATCTCACTCACTAGTCCATGCCTCCTGAGAAAGCTCCATCTCGGTTTATGGTGGAACACGCCATCCTACTTCCCCTTCCACCACTACAATATCTATCTATTCATCTATTTATTTATTTTATTTTGTTAATGTGTTATTTAAAATATAAAAAAAATTACTGACAGAATTTTAGGTGCAGGCTAGGACTGTCTCTGCCATTTGCAGGTATTGTTGTCCTTTTGGCTTCATAGGATATGGACCTTCCACATGCAGTGGGACGGTTTGCTGCTGAATGTGACATGGCAGGGAAAGAAACAGCACCTCTAGCTCAGAAACCATGGTGCTTGACGAAAAAGGTGGCCATCTCCAGATTGGAGGAAAGTCCTTACCCCAAATGAAGTTCAAGTATCTGCGTTTTTTTTTTTTTTTTTCATGAGCAATGGAATGTAAGATTTAAAGATGGATCAGTGCAGCAGCAGCAGTAATGTAGTTAATGTGATTGTTGTGTTGAAGGAGCTGAGACAAAAGGCAGTGTTCTCAGTTTACTGCTCAATCTAGGTTCCTACTCTCACCTATGGTCATGACTGAAAGGAAAAGATCTTGGACGCAACTGGACACATTTTACAAAAAATGTTATGCTTGTTTGAGTCCCAACATAAAAGAGAGACGAGCCAACAAAATAGCCTGATTGCAAATTATTTATTATAAAATGTAACTCGTAGAACAATCAATCAAAGCAACCAACAAATGTTTAGGGATAATAATGAAGATAAAGACTTAGGATATAAATCACAACAACACATAAGGTTAAAGAGTCAATGAGATGGCAGGTCTTGACATGATGACTCCTGAGAAGCCACAGCGACCTGGAGTAGCTAGCACAACAACTTTTTATATACCCATTAATGAGTAATGCAGGCAATCTGGAGTTTTGGGATCATCACAGTATATTAATATTGTAAAACTGAATGTCGGTCTGCCCAAATCATAAAATAATCATCAAGATCGTATTCTACTCAAAAAAGTAAATGTAGTAAACTAAAAAGAATCTTGAACCTAAAAGTAAAGAAACTTTTCTAATAAAAGATGCAACACAGGACAAATGAATGGACTTTCTTCCTAGTGATTTTTCTCATTCAGGGAGTCAGACAGAGAACATCATCCAAAGCAACACTAGCTACATGAATACACTGGAGAGTGGAGTACAGATGCATCCAATCTTCTTCTGTTTTCAGATGTGTTAACTGATTAAACCTCTTGTCACAGTGTGAAAACTTGTACGGTCTCTCCAGTGAGAATCGTCTGGTGCAGTTTTAATTTGAGCTGTAAGAAAAGTCTTCTCACACTTAAGCACATATACTCTCTCACATCACTGTGGATCTTTATGTGTTCATTTAGGTTTGCTGATCAGTTGAAACTCTTCCCACATTGAGTTCATGTGAATGGTTTCTCTCCAGTGTGGGTCTTCATGTGTTTATTAAGGTCTGATGTGTTGCTGAACTCATCCCACACCGAAGCTGCGGTCACAGTAGAGTTTGAGCATGCAAAATTCTGTTAAACGACGCTGTGAAAAGGGGCAGGATTAAACAACATGATTAAACATGAATGGTTTCTCTCCTGTGTGGCGCATCATGTGTCGATTAAGGGACGATGAGTGGCTGAAACTCCTCCCACACTGAGTGCATGCAAATGGTTTCTCTCCAGTGTGGATCTTCATGTGTTTATTAAGGAGTGATGAGCAGTTAAAACTCTTCCCACACTGAGTGCATGTAAATGGTTTCTCTCCAGTGTGGATCCTCATGTGTATATTAAGGGATGATGATTGGCTGAAACTCTTTCCACACTGAGTGCATGTGAATGGTTTCTCTCCAGTGTGGATTCTCATGTGTATATTAAGGGATGATGATTGGCTGAAACTCTTCCCACACTGAGAGCATGTGAATGGTTTCTCTCCAGTGTGGATCCACTTGTGGTGATTAAGGTGTGATAAACAGCTAAAACTCTTCCCACACTGAGTGCATGCGAATGGTTTTTCTCCAGTGTGGATCCTCATGTGTATATTAAGGGATGATGAAAGGCTGAAACTCTTCCCACAATAAGTGCAAGTGAATGGTTTCTCTTTAGTGTGGATCCTCATGTGTTGATTTAAGTTTGATGATTGGCTGAAACATTTCCCACACTGAGTGCATGTGAATGGTTTCTCTCCAGTGTGGATCCTCATGTGTAGATTAAGAGATGATGAGTGGCTGAAACTCTTCCCACACTGAGTGCATGTGAATGGTTTCTCTCCAGTGTGGATCCTCATGTGTAGATTAAGAGATGATGAGTGGCTGAAACTCTTCCCACACTGAGTGCATGTGAATGGTTTCTCTCCAGTGTGGATCCTCATGTGTTGATTAAGGGATGAAGATTGGCTGAAACTCTTTCCACACTGAGTGCAGGTCAAACAATTCTTGTCTCTCCTTTTCAAAATACCATCAGTCTGTAAATGAGTTTTTTCCTCAATTTTGACATGATGTTCCTCCTCTTTACTCTCCTCATTCTCTTCAATTAGGTCTGAAATAAATAAATAAAACTTTAGTTTTCATTAAGTCTTAAAAACTCTCATCAAAAGCTGAATAGTGAAAAGACACTGGAAACATTGGCTACACACACTGTAATTTTTATGCACATTAAATGTAAAATATATAAGATCATGTTTTGTTCGGTCCATTAACATGTACACATTTATGCACATTTAATTCATCTTTATTTATCTAGTGCTTTTACAGTGTAAATTGTGTCAAAACCGCTTAACATAGAAGTTATAGTTAATTGAAACCGTGTCAGTTCAGTTTTCAGAGTTTCTTACATAATTGATCATAAAAGTCATTTTGGTCATTGATAAGACACAGATTTGAAAGCTGTAAATGGCCTATTTTTATTTGTATATGTTCATAATAACAAAATGTTTTTTCTAAAATTTGTAAAGCAGACAGGAAATACTTGTTCATTCTTTGCCTGAGTGGTAAATGCATCAGAAAAAAGTTCTGGGGTAAAAGCTAAACAAACAGCTGAATATTTGCCTTGCAGACATGAGACACACCTGTACAGCACCTGCATAAAGGCTGAAATGTGCACCTTTCCCATTGTGTGCTGTTGGGTCTTTTTCATCAATTCTGGGGTGATTTTGAGGCTTAGTTTGGAAATAAACTTGCAAAGCCATGACAGCATATAATCATGCATTTATGATTGTTGGTATTTCATGTGACGACAGTCAACATTGTTTAATTGGTCTCCAAACATGGGATGGCTAAAAGGAAATGGGTAAGAGTATAAAAGAAGAGGAGAGTTGAAGAGGCCAGCATTATGTGGTGTGCGGAAGAAAGAGAAGTTGACTGAACTGTTGCATTGTGGGGACAAGTAGAGCAGGGGTGGCCGGCCGGTCAGAATGGGCAGGCTAGCGCAGAAGCTCAATTGAATATACTGGGGTAAAATAAATGCTCATATTACAAAGACATGGCGGGGAAAAATGTAATGTAATGCACTGCTTCTTGTACAAACTGAGACCCACTTTATATCAGATATCACTCAAGCAGTGGAGATTGCTGATTTCTAAAGAAAACAGACCTTAAACACGCAGATTTTTGCATTGGCATACAGTTCACCGGAAGCGCTTAACCCAGGTTACTGGTAAATTAAAAGTCCTATTAGCATGCTTTGGCATATACCCTATTATTGCACGGCCTATTTACACAAACTGACTATAGAAACACTATTCTGGTTTTCCAACATCTGTAATGATGAGGCCCCACTTTGGTTACTGATGGAACAGCACACGTCTAATCCAGTGTCATTAAGCTCACTACTTCGTGCTTTCATTCCAGTTTGTGGTGTTTGTTCACTAAAAATAAGAATTAATGAAAGAAAAGAGAAAGTGTATTATTTTGTTCATATTGCTGAATGCTACTGTTGTTGTAGTTCAGCTGTAATTGTGTGTTCTGTACATATGCCTGTGATTGATTGTATACAGGGGGCGCTGCTGGATTATAGGAGGTGCAGTGATCTAAAAAGATAATGGAGTGTGAGACAGTATCATGCTGCTGTAAAACCACTAAAGAATAATAAATCCTTTTTGCTTTGTTTAAAACGTTCTAGTGCCATGTTTCAGTAAAGATCCAACGTATTTCCACTACCGGACACAACACAGTTAGTAAACAATATTCTACGAATAACCCAGTTATTAATGGATCACTCAGAATATGGTCACAATTCAGACCTCACTTTAATAATAAACAAGCATTGCCTTCTGCTCCTATTTTGTTAAATACGTTATTCTCTTCCTCTCTTATAGATTCAGCATTCCAATTATGCTTTAGGAAGGGAGTTATCTGTGTTAAGGACCTGTTTAAAGATGGCATATTTATCTCATTTCAACAGTTAACAGACATTGAGATTCCCCAGTCAAATATTTGACTATTTCAAATACTTTTTTTCCAAAATAAACTTTCTTTAAAATAAAAAACAAACGAGCAAATGATTTTAAAGTTTTAAAACTAAAATAAACTAAATCTATGCGCAACAATCTGTCCAGGTCTATGTCCTCAGCAGTAAATCCATGGAGCACATTTAAACAAATGTTATTGTAAACAAAATAATTAAACTATTATAATAAATAGAGTTAAAATGAATAAACTGAATAAAAAGTTTAACATTTATTGAGATAAATTGTTGGTGATTGTATGGGGTTTGGCCAGATTATGTAACAAAACATGAACAAAGAAAAATAAAGACTTGTTTAAAAAAGATTTAAGACCTCACAACATTTCAGTAAATTTAAGACTTTTTAAGGCCTAAAATTTTAGATTTTGAAATTTAAGACATTTTAAGACCCTACAGGTTATAGGGAATAGCCCTTGTAATTAGTTAATATAATTATGATGTCATTCTAACTCAGTTACTATCTGTGAGAACTAGTAACAACTACTAGAAACAACTTTAAACCCATAAAAAAGTTGATTAAAAAAAGGGGAATTGTGATCAACGTGACATATGCAAATGGAAAGTACTAAGCCAACACCATCACCGTAATAGCAGATATCTTTTATGAGAATAGAATAGGTCAAATATTGTCAGCTCAGATAAACTTTTTAAATTGATTGTTTTTATTTATTTTATTTAGTGCCAGTGCTTATGGACGCTTTACAAACAGTAGGAGAACAAGAAACGCAATAACCTTAAGAAGGTAGAGAAAATGGGAGACTATTAAAACAAAAAAAGAATGACACGAGAACAAGTATAAAAGAAACTCATTCCTATCTTTAAATAAGTGCTTATGTGGATTTAGAAGAACTAGGCAGCACACCCAGGGCTGCAAGATGGATTTAATTTAGTATTCTTATCATTAAAATATATCTAAATGAGGATCAAATGACTGAGTTGGTGTTTGAGAGTGAAAACCAACCTGTTTGTTCCTGCAGATCTTCATGCTTGACTCTGAATGTTTCTTCAATCTTCACATCTTCACTCTCCTCTTTAATAAACGCCATCTTTATAACAGTGTGGAGATCAGTCTGTTTCCTCTGTGTTTGGACACTTTATTCTGTTTAAAATGAACAAAACAATGAACAGAAACAAACTTATCTTTTAACATTTGCTTTAACAGTTTCTTTATATGAGAGTAATTAACAAAAACAAATCAGGTAAGTCTGAGCAAGAAACAATAGCCACAAATGAGCTGATTAAAACTAGTGACGTAACTACATATCAGGATAAAAACAATATTTATAACCAAATAAACAAACAAACAAAAAACTGAATAGTTGTAAAGAAGCTTTTAAATTTGACTGAAGAACTTAATACAATGTTGAACAATGCATCCACACATATTTACATTTTATAATGTTAGCATTCAGATATTATTTGAGTGTAAATTCAAAATGTGCAACTCACCTTTTCTGTCTTCAATGAAGAAGTGGGATAAAAAAGGCCTCTGTGGGTTTTTCTTTGTAGGTTGTTGTTGGTAATAATCTCAATGTAGGTACAATCGTAGTTTGTCCTCCAAAGTTGTTCTCTTACAGCTAAATCAGATAATGAAGCCTCCGTTAGGAACACGGAATATATAGATGCAACCCTGCTGAGCTACTGGAACTGGAATGTGATTGGATAAGACTCAATTGGCCCCCATTAAAGCTGGTATAGAGATGCAAATGAAATGAGCAGTGAAGACTCAAGACACATACAGTGGGGGATGGGAAGTTCAGCAGCTTTACAAACCAGTTTTACAGAGAAATAATGATGTATTGGGAAAATAAGTTGACTTTAGCCATCTTCATTTGTTTTGTTGCTGTTGTTTTATAGGACTATTGATGGAAGCTTTTTTATTTTGGCTGCTGCATTTTGTAGTTAATGCTGATACACTTATGTTGAGGTATTTTGATTTGAAACTCATTTTAATTGTTTTTTTTCCCAAGCTGTTTTTTGTTTAAAGATGCAAATGAGCATTGAAGACTTAAACCACACTGATGTCTCAACACACACAACTACATTCACTTATATACTAGTTATGTAAGTGATACTATTGTACTGTGATATATCATTATTTGTTAAAAGAAACAATTTCTAATCTTCACAGTGAGGTTTTATTTGTGTTAAGTTCAGTCAATATATTAATATTAGCAATGTTTTAATAATTTTTTTATCACTGAACCTGTTCTGTGCATACAGAACCTGTGTTTGTGCATACAAATATGCATAGACATTCACAAAAGAATATATAAGATACCCTGTGACAAAACTTTTTTTAACACAGTGAAGCTATCACATACTGTCCGTTTTTTGCTACTTTTGGCCTTAGAAGGTAGTTGTTTGTACATTAATCACAAATGAATGAGACACACTGTAACTTCAAACTCATTTGTGTTAATTCCATGTGCTGTGAAATGTTATGTACAAGCTGCAGAGGCAATCAGGTGTGATTAAAGTGCCATATATCTGATCCAGTCCTCCAGCATCTTTTTTGCTTCAAATAAAGTCTTTTACACTAATATCATTATGAAGTTGGTCTTTTGTTGCTAATAATTGATTTATACTCTCTGAAATATAACTAATTCTGTTATATAGCTTTATCTCTTAACCAGGAGAAGGAGGGAAATGCACTCACTCACTCAATGCAGTCGAATCAATGAGCAAAAAACACAACACATTAAAGGTTACCAAGCCACATATCACAACAAGAGAGATCTGTTATGGTACAGGCACAAATCAAGTGACACAAACAAACCAAGAAAGCAACTTTTAATCAGAAACTTTATATATATATATATATATATATATATATATATATATATATATATATATATATATATATATATATATATATATATATATATATATATATTATTATTATTATTATTACTTAGTCCCTTTATTAATCTGGGGTCGCCAGAGCGGAATGAACCGCCAACTTATCCAGCAAGTTTTTACACAGCGGATGCCTTTCCAGCCGCAACCCATCTCTGGGAAACATCCACACACACACTCATACACTACGGACAGTTTAGCCTACCCAATTCACCTGTACCCCATGTCTTTGCACTGTGGGGGAAACCGTAGTACCCGGAGGAAACCCACGCGAACGCAGGGAGAACATGCAAACTCCACACAGAAACGCCTGTTGCTATACATATATATAGTAGCTGGGCATAGTTAATCTGAAAGCAAGTTGGGCCATGGTCACACTAGAGTTTGTGCTTGCAAAATTTTTCGTACAGCGCTGCAAAAAAGGACGGGATAAAACAATATGATTAGACGATACTAAAAGCGACTGATTGCTCCATATAGCTCATGTTTTGATCTTCTATTGGTCTCATGCACTCACATGATGCGATTTCAAGCTTTGGTCTTACCTTTGTGGAGTCCACTATTAAATCTGTCATGCAGATATATATTTATAATTAGAAAATAATTACGTCACAAGTTAAATTATTGTATAGGCAGTTTATACAGGGTAATTCAATGACAAGAGTTCACTTTCATATCTACACAATGCATAACTTTTAACGTGATTAACCTGCTCCACCTACACCAACTACAGCATTTCTCAGACTTCTGTTTCACTATGGTGTAATTACAGTGGTGAACATCACATACAACAACAACTGCACTTACTCCTGTAACGTGTTTGCAACAATGAAATTTAAATATTTGTGTCACATATTCATTTAAATAAATGGCTCATCATCATGTGCAGTCATCTTTATTAATAGCTGCCTAATAGGTCAGACCATTAACTGAATAGGATCGTTTTACATATATGAAACCTGTTAACAGGTATAGCTGTTCATGCCAATACCAACTTGATAGCCTAAACCAAATTACATGAACAGGACCTGCCTTACATCTCTTAAGACAAATAAGCTAAGGTGTCTATAACAATACATGCTTGGTTGCCCAGATCATTACATCTGAATGGTGCCTTTTAGTAATCATAGTTCTTCACCAATACCAGTTTAATACCTCAAATAATTACACAGATGTGAGGCGTCACAGTGTTGCAGTGGGTAGCACGATCGCCTCACAGCAAGAATGTTGCTGGTTCGAGCCTCAACTGGGTCAGTTGGCATTTCTGTGTGGAGTTGCTGTGGTGACCCCAGATTAATAAAAGGACTAAGCTGTGAAGAAAATGAATGAATATATGAGTAATATCACACGATTATCAGTTTCTGTATTTCTATTTGTTGTAATGGCCAGTTGTTATTGCAATAAAAAAATTAATAAATAAATTTTAAAAAAGCAGTGCGATGTGCCTCTTGAGCGATTGTCCCTCTATCTGTTGTTTCAATCCCCTGAGAACTTTGGCTCCCTCGTCTGTCATAGACAGCAAGAGTCCCGAGATGCTCAAAGGGTTTGACAGTTTTTTCTGGAAAAGGAACCAAAAACATTGTCAAAACCTGTGACGTGACTTTAGTGGTTCAATTGTAATCGAGTTCCAAGAACATTTTGTGTGCCAGAAAATGTTGAAAAAAGCAGCCATGTCCAAAGTAGGAGCTGTTGAACCATATAGTGGCTGCTTTTTGACACTGTAGCCTATTCTCTATATTTGCATTCAGCAGAAGAAACTCAAACAGGTTTGGCTCAAGTAGTGGATGAGTAAATGACAGAAATGTTTTTTTTTTTAATGTGAACTACCCCTTTAATGCTTCTGTAAGTAAGGGTAAATGAAATATTATTACTGAAGATATTGCTAAAGAATGGCAGAAAATCGTGGAACACAGCTAATAAGAGACGACAATTCATTTGAAACAATAAGAAACACTATATAGGCCTATAAAGTTGTAAAAATAGAAAAGAAAATAAGGGGTCATAATTATGAGGATGAGATTTGGACTCAGATATTAATAGGAAGTAATGTGTTGTAGACATGCAAGCCATCATGAACTGGATTAAAAAAAGTTTCTCAAAATTGTCTTAAAATGTTTAGATTAAAAAATTTGATCATCTTTAAATACTAAAGTGTGTGTTTGTGAGAGAGATCTAATCTATTTTAATTTTTATTAATATTTTTTATTTTATAAATCTTTTTATTTTTATTAATCTATTTTTATTTTATTTATTTCTGTGTTTTTTCTGTATTATATTTTCTATCCATATTTGTTTGCACTACTGTCTTGTTTGTACGTATGCAATATGAATGTACAGTTATTTGTCATGCCAATAAAGCACCTAAAATGTGAAGAGTGAGAGAGAGAGCAGAAATAGTATAGAGTGAAAAACAAGGGAGAAATGTATCAATAAGTCATGACTGCAACAGTAAGGGGCAAAAAAGCTAAACAAAAAAGACTTTTATTTTGGCGTGGTGTGTGACGTCATCAGACGGCGCCGCTTCAGCGCTTTGATTCAACTGGAGAAAGGTTTGTGTTTTTAAATGTTTACGGATATAACCCGATTTAATTAAAGTTTCATGTTTTTCATCCGATGCTAAATTATGTACCTGCTGTTGGAAATATTATTTTAACCCTTTATACAGCGTAGTACTATTTTATTCTTAGTAACCGAGGGCTTTTGTTTGAAACAGAAAGTGTGTAATGCGAGCTTTAAAATAGAGGTAAAGTTGGTTTTATATTCACACATTTGTTCATTTAGCAGTCTCTATATTGTTTACCCTGTTACTTTGAATATGTCATCAGAGTTAGCCTGCCAGTATGACTTGAATTCAACATTAACGCTGTTTATTTGACTGTGAACAATATACTTTGATAGTCATTGGCTGCTATTATGATTTTACTATTAAAAGTTTGCTAATAATACTTTTATTAAAATAATTTATTAAAAGGAAAGTCTGAATGTGCAAATATAAAACCAACTTTACCTTTATCTTTACCTCTATACTCCCAGTAACCTGATAGAGGTAAAGTTGGTTTTATATTCGCACATTCGTTCATTTAGAATTCTCTATATTGTTTACCATGTTACTTTGAATATTCGATTGGAATTAGCATGCAAGTGTGACTTGAAAACAACATTAACACTGTTTATTTGACTGTGAACA